GGCAGACAATAGCAGTAAAGAACTTGAACTTGCAACAGTTTCCGGCAGAGTCTGACAAGTGCTTCTACAACGAAATCAAGACTCTGAGCCAACTGAGACACCGCAATCTGGTGAAGATACTTGGTTATGCGTGGGAAAGCAGGAAGCTGAAGGCTTTAGTTCTGGAGTATATGGAGAATGGGAACTTGGAGAGCATCATTCACGGCCCTTGCACAGATCATTCAAGATGGACGTTGTCACACAGAATCGACACTTTAGTCTCTGTTGCGAGTGGGTTGGTTTATCTGCATTCAGGTTATGATTTCCCCATAGTTCATTGTGATTTGAAACCTTCCAATATCCTTTTGGAAGAAAAATGGGAGGCCCATGTAAGCGATTTTGGAACTGCTCGAATGCTGGGTGTTCATCTCCAGGATGGGAGCAGCCTTTCCTCATCTGCCTTTCAGGGCACCATTGGCTATATAGCACCAGGTGACATTGAACTTTCTTCTCCGCATCATGAAGTTCATTGTAGGTGTATAAAATCTAGAATATTGAAATTATTTTGATATTTATTGTGACCACTCAAACAATGAAACAATTCCAATTAGTCTGTAATTGGGAGAGAAATTTCGTGCTAGATATATCGTAGCTTCAAAATTTACTTTATTTTTGAAAGGGTTTCAGTTGCTCTGCCTTTGAAGATATGCTCAAGCTTCCAGCTTGTAGGAGAGGGTTCAAGAAAGGAGTTAGAAAATTCGAAAAACATAGAGACAGAGCCTGAAAGAACTTCAATTATAATAAGTAGAAACACAATACATCCCACACAGTATCAAAATAAGCATCCCTAGCTAGTCTAGTTGCTAATTGTGCTGATTTCACATATGATTTGTTCGTTTTTACAATCAAAACATTACAAAGACAACCTAGCATGGTTTTACTGTACTCTACAATTGTAGAGATATCTATCTGAGCCATCATCTTCCCCAAGAGTCCCTTAACCAAAAGTTCACTATCCGTACACACCAGAACAGTGCCCAATCCCCAAGATTCCAGCCATTGCAGCACCAGAAAACCAGCCATAGCCTCCTGCTTGCAAACTTTATAGAACTTGCACCGATTTAGTTGCAGCAGCAACTTTCCACCAGAGCTCTCCCAAGCCACCCATTTTGTACCTGCTCATAAAGAAGTTTTCTCCCAAGATCCATTTACAATCACAAAGTAATCAAAATAAGTTAAATCAACATTATTCTAGAATGAACTGTAATTCTAGAATTGTATAATTGCAGCAATGTTTGGTCATTACAAAGCAAAGGGCTATATGTAAAATCCCATAAATTTCTTTTGCACTGCTTTTAAATTTGATTATTTGTTCAATAACAAGAACTGAAACCAACACCTCAAACTAGCTTCGACAGTTACCCTGATTATTCAGTACAAAACGAGTTTCATAGTTTGTTCAATTTTACTCTCTTTCTCTCTCTCTCCCTCTCTCTCTCTCATATGTTCTTATTTTGTGCAGTAGAGAAAGTCATGTGGGAGCAAACAATAAACTCAAAAAAGATTCTTCAAACCTTCTATTTGTTTGATAGAATTCAACAAAGTAGCATTTCAAACTGACATATACTGAATTGAAGGCATGTATCAAAGGGAGAGAGAATTATGTTTCTTGGTGTATAGGATGTGCTTTCTAGGAAATTGATAGATAATGTGTCTTGTTTCTCATAAATTGAGCCAGACATGAGATGCATTTTGCTCCATATTTTATCTCCTTACTGGTATGAAAAATTCTCATCTTCCTAGTCGCGGTATAATGGGCATGACGAACTGTGAAACATAACAGCAAAACCTAATAAAATAATAAATTGTTGTCATCTAAGAAAGAGATCTGTCTAAAGACAGCTCTAACTGGCATTATGTACAATTTATAGCTTCTTTACATCAATCGAACCCATGAATTTGACAAAATATCAAATATAAAAAATGTGAATATCAAACTATGTTTCTTCATCAATTTTCCACTGTACTCCACCATTAACATCGAGTTGTTACTATGTCAGTCTTGCCTAACAGTTGATTCTTAATCTTCCCAAAATTGTTTGTGTTGTGATCAGAGTTTGCATATATGAGGAAGGTTACAACCAAAGTGGACGTGTTCAGCTTCGGTATAATAGTAATGGAACTCTTAACAAAGCGAAGGCCAACAGGACTCACCCAGGAGGATGGGTTATCAATCACTTTGCCTCAACTCGTGGAGAGAGAGCTAGCAAATGGAATCAATAGGCTACTTCACATTGTCGACCCTCTACTAGCTTCACAAGTCTCCAAGGAGCAGGAAATGGTGGAAGCGATCCTTAAATTAGCCTTGTCTTGCACCTGCACAGCTCCTGAGGACCGACCCGACATGGATGAAATCTTGTCTTCCATTTTGAAGCTAAGCAAGCACAGGATAGCATCAAAACAGTGATAATGCTTTCCTCACTGCCGCTTTCAACATGAGACCAGATCAGAAGCTCCGATGCTTTAACAAGCAAAAAACTGCAAACTCAGTTGTCAAATGGACTGGTAACCCAACTTTTCTATGCTGGTGTGAGATTATGATTGTGCTGGTTATGCTTCAAAGTGGACTCTGAATGCTCCAAAATCCTGCAGCATTCATTCTGGTTCCAATAAAAATAAAAAAAATTGATTTTTAAATGTTGCAGAAGGAGTCCAAGCATGACATAAGCCAAGACCGTGCTCTAGCCAAGTTGTGTATCATTTGATAAGATAATCTACTTTATGGTGATGATTAGAGCTTTCTTTTCTGATGCAACTAACAAAGCAAGAAACTAAATAAAAAGAAATAAACAAAACAATATTGCCAAATTCAATCAGTTTTTAAAGTTAGAATTGTGCTCCTTTGAGTGAAAAGGAACATCAAATACTTAAATATCAAGTTAACATCCATCAGCAAATTGACAATAGTATAAATAATCAAAAAGTGATCCATATATAACATTGCCAATACAATAAAATCACCACTAGTGAAAATAGAGGACTTCCACATAGTTTGATATTCATCATGGGTAGTGGCTGGTTGTTCTCATGAATATTTTCTCCAAGCGAAGCCTAATCTTTAGGAGGATCATTCTGCAAGAACTCTGCTATAGTTGAGGGGAACTCAAATCTTCCAAAACCATCACCACACTCGGAAAGAAAGGCAGCTTTGCCCAAAAGCAAATGGGTCAATCTCAAAGGCTCTCTCCTTCCCTCTCCACCATCATTCAAAAAATGCTTAATCCATGCCTCCAACCTCCCCATCTCCCTTCCACATTTGGGCCCCTTAACCCCAATCATCTTTGAATAGAATCCACATTCATAACCACAGGTCTCACCACAATTCTTTAAATCCAAATCAACCTTGTTTTGCTCTTCTTCTTCTTCTTCACAATCTGACAAACCCAAAAGCTGAATTAATAATTCAATCTCGTCAACAGTATTGAATTCAACTCTGTTGATTGTTTGTGGGTTGTTTATGATATCTGCTTGAGGTATGTCTTCGTGGATTGGTGGGAAATCAAGGGAATTTGAAAGGAATTGTCTTGGGGGCTCACTGTCTTGGAGGGATGAGCTGTTATTGTTGTTTGTGCTGCTGGGTTGGTCAAAATTAAGGAATATAGGGGAGCTCAGAGATTCAACTGGGGTATAGCTAGTTTCCTCTGGTGGTTGTGGTGGCGGCGGTGGTGGTGAAGAGAGAGTGGAGGCTTGTGAAGGGTTCTCTAGTTTGAGTCTCTTCTCCACCTGTTCACATACATGTGAGAAAGAATCAAAAGCATATCTATCTGCTTACATATATAAAAATATATATATATACATACATATAGAGAGAGAGGCAAAGAGTGGCGCATGAGATTTAGGCCTAGTTTGGGAAGACTAAATAAGTGCACTTTTTGACTTTTTATGAAATATGGGTTGGGTTTGGATTGGGTTTGAAGTGATGTGTTAGAGAGGTGATGTGACTTAAATAAGATGATGCAACTTAAATAGGATAGTGACTTTTTGACTTTTTGTCTTTTTTCAATCATGCCAAACTTGGCCTTACCTGTTTGAGAGATGAGAAAAAATTGGAGTGAAGAGCAGGTGGTCTCATAATACTCAAGATTTAGATTTTGCTCCCTCTAATTTCTTATTATTGCATTAGTCTTCTGCAAATAAATTAAAGCAAGAGAATCATATCAATGCATTTCTCACCGCCTCTCTCACAAGGCAGTGGGAATGCTAATTGGGCCCCACTGCCTTGAAAGAGAGACAGTAATAAATGGAGTGTCCATAGCATTGTTGTTTTCTTTGTCATCTAAGTCAAGTCCATAATAATAATAAGAGGAGAGGACTATTAAAACATGGTTGTGATTTTTTATAATTTTTTTAAGTTCAAGCTTGAGCACAATGAGAACAACTCACATTTTGAGTTTGTTGGAATGGGCAAAATATCCAAAAACATGTAAGGATATTATTTTGTGACCTTGACAAAAGGAGGATTGTCACGGCAGGACTTCCAAAAGCTAGAAATGTTATAAATCACCGGAAAGGTTATCAAAGTGGTGCAAAAAACAGTTGTAGCCAATTTTTGTCAAAATAGTATGTCACAGAACTTGTGCTACCCTTTTATATCACTGGCTGTTTGAATAATCATGATTAGTTCCTTGTTCACAAAATTATTTACTTTCACTTAACCCTATGAGACATGTTGCAAGTCTAAAATTTTATGAACCCACAAAATGATATGCTTAAAGAAACATCTAAGCATCACAAAAGCATTTAACATCTATTATAATATATCGGGTGTCATTCTACCATACACACCCCTTACAAGGAGTGTAATATATGCAAGTTATGACATTGTGGTGTTGATTTCACAAAGTGTCATTACAAAATCATCTTCAGTCATCACTAAAAACACCACAATAAATCATAACTAAACACCATTTGAAGTATAATTAAAGACCTCTTAGGTTATAATAACAACCACAATACATAATAACCAACATGGCGATGACTCATAACCAAACACCTTTTCGGTCATTATTTAAATAACAATGATAAGAGGTAATCTATAAGTCTCAACTAACACACAATGAATCATAATTAAATCATAACTAACCAGTCATAATCAAAACCATAAATGTCAAATAACTGGGGTATATGATAAAAATCAGTGTGTATCATAAAATTTTCAGTATTTAAAAATCAGTGTGTATCATAAAAATCAGCGATTCACCCTTTGGGCCAGGCCCACAAGCTCTGCCCAAATTTGCCCGTGAAGAGGCCACTTTGCGTGGATCCCAGATTAGTCAGGTGCAGGTGCAGGGTGCGCGTAAGGTGATCTGGACACAAGTTATAAAATAAAATAAAAAACATGTATGGTTCATTTCTGACCTAGGGTATTCGCTGGCAATCAATCATAGTCTATGGCGACCCATTCAGGCCATTCAGTACAGTGTTGGAAGATCACGGGCAGCAATTTACAAACCAAAAGATTGAAGGTAATTATTATTTTTTATTTTTTTTTAATTTATAATAATTCATCATAACTCATCGCATTTGCAACTTAGAAACGCAACAACTTTCAAACACTAGAAATATTTCTCGGAAAAAACCTAATTGGAAAGCAATAGGAAAACAACAACAAACCTACTTCTGATTAGACCTTTAATCACAATCACGAAATAGACAAGACAGAGTATACCCCAACGGTCCTGTCTCTCCGCTCCATCTATCTATGAAAATTTTCGTACAAGCCCTTTTAACAAACTTTGTAATTTTAATTAGTATCAATTATTGTGGTGTTATTTATTATATTTATGGTAAATTATAAATATGTTTTTTTTAAATGTAATTTATTTGAAATTTTGAAAATTATATCTGGCCTCTTGAAATTTTTAATTTCATAACAAATTATTCATTTTATTAATAAATTATCAAATCAATTAATAATTCTGGTAATTTTATTATTGTGTAAGAGAGCAGTTATAAATTTTATTTTTTCAATTAATTTTATCAAATAAAATTTTTTAACAAGGGAATATTTGTAATTTTTCAAACTAACGGAAACAATCCATATTATAAACAAACCTCAAGAGGTAATCCGTATTATAAGTAAAGCTCAAGAGGTGTATTTTTAATTTATCCTATGTTTATTCTAATGTTAATTATGATATTATTTTAATTATTATTAAAAAAAAATTGATTATATTTTAGAGTAAAACACCAATAAATTCTAAGTTTAGGTCTTATGAATTATTTAATCCTACCTTTTTTCTTGTAGACTAATAAGTCCCATGTCAATATTAAAAACACTTATGTACATCATTGCCCCATATGTTTCTAGAAAAGTTTGGGATAGAAAGAGTGGTTCGGCGATGTTTGATGTTGAATTTACAGATTTGTCCAAAAAGCATACTGTAGAGGTTTTTTTGGTTTTCCCTCTCATCCGATCAATCCAGAAAAGATGAATATGGCAAGTTCTAGGTTTGTAATGCTAGCGTGATGAATAATCCTCCATTTTTGTATTTCAATGTTTTTGGTAATGTTAAAACATCAGTCATAGTAGCCCCAAATAATATTTGGTTCAAACCCTAGAACTTACTGTAACATTGAATCAACAGAAGCAATTGAACCTGTGTGATTTTGCGATATTGGTTGACGTTAGTGGCGTCACTCCGGCGAATTTGTTTTCACATCCACCCATCATTGGCGTCTTTGATTGTGTTGGTGAACGATGGTGTTAGATATGTGGCCTCCAATGTTTCATTTCCCTATTTTTATGGTCCATCCTCGTTGTGATGGTTAAGTGTGTTTGGTTAATATTAGAGTATGTGTCTGTATGTAATGGCTATGTAGGGTTTTTTTTTTTTGGTAGACATTGTTTGATGTTATTGGTTAGGTGGGTTTGTAATTGCGTCGGGGGTACAGTCATGTAATGGCTAATCTTTGTTTGTGCTAGTATTTCTAGTAATGTAACATTGGGTATGACATTCTGTTGGTGTTTTTGGTGATATGTGTTTTCTGTTATCATATATTGACATCATTGCAATGGTAGAGTCATTTCAATATTAGTTGTCTTGTTTTGTTACAATGACGCAAGGAGTTCCTTTTTTTTTACCATTTGTATATATGTTAGTAATGATGTGGAATGGTTGGGATGTCCATGTTAGTTTAAGGGCAATTTTATGATGATGTAGATCTTTATGATGTTCAATGGCTGCCCGGGGAAATGTGTGTTTACATGCAGGTCGGACTGTGCGATACTCGTTTGTTTCATCATCCGACAATGCTTCCACTTCGTTGAAATTGACAACACAATGGATGGATTGACGCCATCGATTCTACACGCGGCAATGGTGAGAATGTTTTTAAATGACCCGGAAAAAGGACTACGAGTTAGGAAAACATGATATGTTATGTCTGCTTCCCAACATCGCCATCCCCCAACAAGTTTGAATTAGGTTTTATGGTTTTTACTTTTTTTTTTCCAATGATTAATTAGTTTTTGACGTGACTGAATGTAAAGCAAGACATTGTGTTAGGACAATTTTTGTGCCTGCTTAATTAGGCGAATTGATTGTTTAGGGTTTTGGCATATGACGTTATGCGATGGTGAACAATTACAGCACATCGCAATTAATAAAAATATTATTTCCGGAATGTGACCATGTATGAATTTCTGTCTCTAGGGACAACAACAATTTGTGATGTTGTTTTGTTTGTATGGTAAGTAAGTGTTGTGCACCAGGCTCGTATTGTTAATTAAATGTCACATTTTCATGTGACAATTAAGCATTTGGTGTAGTATGAGTTGTGTAATGTAAAATGCTAATTCTGTAATCATTTTTGACATCTTATTATCAGTGGATTATGTTAATGTAACGGGAATTTGACAGGTACAATCGTGCTTCTGTTTGTGGTTATCCAATGATGTGGTGAGACAAATGTAGTTCGACGTGATAGTTGATGTATGGATGCATTCAAGCTGTAAAAATAGTTTATTAGAGAATGTGTATGTTTCTCACCCTCTCCCCTATTTTTATGCGTGGCTTACGTCACAAACCGTCATGCTAAAATTGAACCTTAACTCATTGGTGTCAACCTCCCCACCCGCCTCTCACAATTTGATGTTGTGAAAAGTTGAATACATAACGAAAAAGATGTAAATAGACTTGAAAAGAAAGAACTAACGAGCATTCCAAAGCTTGGTAACAAACAAAATGTTGTAATGTTCGGAACCTACTTCACCTTAAGATGAAGTACGTTAAAATTGATGTACTCAATAGGCCAATATGAATGGATGTGACGACCGTTAACCGGAATGTTTGATAACATATACCAACATCATAGCAAGACACAATGCCTAATACACCTACCCATTCGCCAAGTTCATGTTGTTATGTACCCATATTGTAACACAACCCATCTCATCAAACCACCTTTCATATAGTATCTTCATTGGTGTAATGCAAACACATCTCACCAAAACCCCTTACCCATATTGTGATACACCCCATCTCATCATACTAATTACCTAATGATCTAGTAAAAACTTAACTATTTAGTAAAAATATGAAAATCCAATGTGAACCATTTATATAATAAAGTGTATTCCACACACCCAACAAACATATATTGAAAATTTAAAATGTCGTAGACTTCTACAACGATAAACTTGTCCACAGCTCTTCTCTCATGTGGCAAAGTATGAACGTGAATGAGATAGTAAATTATTTAATGACCGAACATGAAAGATGTAATCGTGTTGGATATGTGCATCGACCATATGTGTCGATGCACTACATTGGTTCCTTACATGTTTTCTTGTTATGATTACCCATTTTGCCACAGCGGCCGTAACGAATGCGTAACACCACCTCACCCTTGGATGGGATCCTCTTTCGTTGGGGCCTTTCGGGTGGTTGCTTAACAATAGGTGGAGCAATGAGGTAATCCACAGTTGTGAACTTTGGTTTGGCAACCTTCAAAATTGGGTGAATAGACTTGGAATGCACCATCGTGATTCTTCATACAGAATCATTCTTTATGTATCTAAATTGAAACCCATATTCGACAACATACTTGCAAAGCACTGTCCAGAATTCGTGTGCACCGCCTCAAAACGATTGACCAACATGTGTAATACCAAATGCCCACCCAGCCGACAAAAACATCTTCGATTTGTGCAGACAATATAATGGTAATAAATCGGTCTGGTTTTCCATATTGCCCACCCGCCCATCAACAGTGTCAGGCTCACCAACATTTGGTGAATCCGCGACGTCACACTGAATGCTCAGCGTTTCACTCCGCGTTTGAATAAGCACATCAATATGATCAAGCCCAAATGACTTCGCAAGGCACAACATGTTTTGCACATTTTTGTCACAATGAACATTAAACTTGTTGTATTTGGGAATGGTGAACAAGAAACCCACCGACCCCGACACCAAGCTATCAAACATCCTACATACACTTTTAACCAATTATGCAAAATGTGAAGGCTTGATGGAGGTAAACAACCGTACTGGTCTGTCCATACGTACACAACAACAACACTGCAAACTCTATAACTACGATAGATTAAAACAACAACACATAACATTACAAATCAAAACACCATAATGGCCGAAAATGAAACAACCCATCCAAAGTAGAATAAATCAAAAGACACCCCTAAACAATTCATCTAGTATAGAATAAATCAAAATACACCCCTACAATGGCAACGTAACAATGGCATCTTAAATCCAGACTTCCTGACACAGCCACTGAAAACAAAAGCACACCCACAGATATTGACCCAACAACAAAACAAACATATGAAAATGACTTTCAAAAATGTCACCCAGCACATCAACAGCACAATAATGAAACAGACCTCCAAATTGCCTTACAATACATTAACAACACAGCACCCAAAGTATTAATTGAACGAAAACAAAACAACTACGACCCCCTACAGCAACGACCTATGCTTCCAGATCAGAAAAACACGTGAAATGGGCAATGACATCAACCCCATAAATCACTCCACGCAATCCAAAAAAAATAAAAAATAAAATGGAAACATATCTCCATATCTTAATAAATCCACCCAAACATCAAGAAAAAAATCAAAAACAAAATCACAGCCAACAACAACCCACGATTCCACATCAAAAACCCTCAATAAATGAGTAACATCACTAACCCTATAAATCACTCCACGCAATTCCCCACAAAAAATTTGAAAAACAACACCATACCGTAACAAACCCACCCAAACATCAGAAAAAAAAATCCAAAATAAAATCACATCCGAGGGTAAACAAGTAAACTTCCTAACTCCCAAATTAAACAAAAACAACATACCATAAATAAAAGGACTAATTGGTTTGGAAGAAAACTTCCAAGACTAAATGGAGCAACATTTTCCCAAATGGGATTTTTGAGTAATTTTTCTTATATTTTATGTGCTATTTGGTTATAATTTTTTTTTTTTAGTTATGACTCTCATATGATTGGCTTATAACATTTATGAGAATCAAATTCACAAATATCGTAGCTTATGGCTTCATTTGGAAAGTTGATTATTTTAGTAGACTATTTTAATTTTTGGCTATTTTAGTAGGTTAAAATTTTTGTGTTTGGAAAAATAGTTGAATTTTTTTATAGTCGGATGTGATATTTGTGAGAGAAAAAGTGAAATGATTATGGATTTGATGTGATATTTTGTCTTATTAGCTATTTTAATTTATTTTGTCTTTTTGTGAATTTTAGCCTAAAAAAAGCCATAAACCCACTTCCCGAACAGGGCCTATGGGGCATTTTGGCAACATAGTTAAAAGCCAGCTTTCTGATTTTTTGGCTTTTTTGGGTTACATCACCTTTGTTCTTTTGTTACAAAAAATTCCAAAAAGCCAGCTTTTTTGTCAACTTACCAAAACACCACTATACTATAGCGAACCCGATTTTTACCCGACTCTTGTGATGTTCCGGGCTCGGGTTTAATGCTTTCATATTGTTGTCTATATCTTTCTTCCCTTGTATACCTTTGAAATTGGTCCTTGGGTTGTTGTGGTTGTGCTTGAAGCAGGTTGGTTACTTAATTTTCAAACTTTGTGTTGCCCATATTTTTGGTCTTACACTTGAGCAGCCATTATTGCGCTCGAGCGGGCTATGTAAATTTTGGTCCTCCGCTCGAGCGGGAGTTACAAACTCTCAGTACTCTGCACTTCTGCAAAAGTGCTGGAGGGAATGTTTTTCACGCTCAAGTGGCGTTTCCTACGCTTGAGCGGGTGTGAGCTCGAGCGGCTTCTTTGCACTTGAGCGGGTTGTTTGTTGTTTGCAAAAATACTGGATGTGTGTATTCTACGCTTGAGCAGAACAAATCTTGTGTCTGACGCTCGAGCGTGAAACCCGACGCTCGAGCGAACTGCGCATATATCAGATCGTAAAAGTGACATTTTATATCACTTTTTCATATCTCTCTCTCTCTAAAACTCTCCAAAACCCTAAAACTTGAGACTCTCTCTCTAAAATACTCTCTCTCTATACATTTTGGCCTAGATCCTTTGATCTCTCCATCATACTCCCTTTGATAAAAAGGTGGAGCTTTTCAAGATTTTCTCTTTGAACTGATTATAGTTGGATTTCGGCACTTTTCGGGTTTCTCTCTTACTTGGCTTATCTTCTTTCTTTGAGGTAGGGATATTCTATACTTTAGTATGAGTTTTAACCTAGTTATTTGTGGTTATGTATAAATGGTGGAAATTTTGAGAGTTTTGGGTAAACTAAGGGTTTGGTCCCAAATTTAAAGAGGGGTTTCTACATTGTGTTACATAGATGATTATGGAGTTTCGAAAATGAGGATATCTTGTGTTAAAATGGTGAATTTTAACCCTTAGGTTAATATTTGAATAAAGGGGGAGATTTACCCTAATTGTGTCTTGAATATTAATTGTATAAATAATGAAATTGATGTGAGAAATGTGAAATTGGAGAAAAGTATAAATGGATGGTGCAGTTAGATTTGTTGAATCACTCACCCATGGAATTTTGACAATTTATCTGTTCTACATATTTTATATATGTTTAGAAATATCTGTGATGGACTATTGGTGGAGGATACCTATGATTGTTGTAGAAATTGCATGATAATTAGGTGAATTGAAACTAATCATTTAACTTTATCATTGAATATGATGGTGTGATTAAGGCATTGAATATGTGTTATGGATAGTCATTGTATATGACGATGAATTTAAATACATTGTATTTATATAATGTTTTGGGAGAAGGGGATGTACTCCACTGTTTGGGAGGAGATAGGGGATGAAATCCATTGAGAATTAAGTTGGCCGGAGTGTCCAGAGTGAAAGTCTTGAAATCTTGTGAATACATGGGTGCCGATCCCGCGGATGAAATTTCCGTAAAATGGTAAGGTTGAAGTGTTTGTATAGTAGTTACGTTGATTGAGAACCACTGAGTTGTAATCTCAGTTGGATTATTTGAGAATTATAAACTTGATCTATGAATTAAAATGAAATGTACTAATTGGAAATGAATAAATGGGAATGGAATGAGGTATGAGTATTGGTACCATGTGGTCATGGAAAGGGTGTGCAGTGGTTATAAATTTTGAATATGTTATATTTGACACTCATATCTTTGTTAAACTT